ACATCCCGAATCATCGGCACGGAGTCACGAGGCTGCCCCACAATACCCAGCATAATCAGAGCTCGACACTTCCCTTGAAGGAGTGAGGTTGAATGCAAGATTGACTCATTGACTCGTTCACTGCCAAGGACAACACTTCTCGAATCACCGGTTATGGAGTCACAAGGTTGCCCCACGTTACCAAGCATATCAAAGTCTCACACTTCCCTTGAAGGAGTGAGGTTGAATGCAAGACTGACTCGCCACTCACCGCCAAGCAACACACATCCCGAATCACCGGGCACGGAGTCGCTTGGCAGAACCACATTATCAAGCATTATCAGAGCCCCACACTTCCCTTGAAGGAGTGAGGTTGTATGCAAGACTGACTCAACTTTCACTGCCAAGCAACACACATGCCGAATCACCGGATATGGGGAGTCACAAGGCTGTCCCACACTATCAAGCATAATCAGAGTCCCATACTTCCCTTGAAGGAGTGAGTTTGAACGCAAGACTGACTCATGGGTCACTACCAAGCAACGCACATCCCGAATCACTGGGTATGGAGTCACAAGCTTGCACCACATGATCAAGCATAATCAGAGCCCCACACTTCCCTTGAAGGGGTGAGGTTCACTGCAAGAATGACTCACGGTTCACTGCCAAGCAACACACATGCCGAATTACCGGGTATGGAGTCACAAGGCTGCCCCACATTATCAAGCATAATCAGACCCCAAACTTCCCTTGAAGGAGTGAGGTTGAATGCAAGAATGATTCATGGTTCACTGCCAAGCAACACACATGCGGAAACACCGCGTATGGAGTCACAAGGTTGCCCCACATGGTCAAGTATATTGAGAGCCCCACACTTCCCTTGAAGGAGTGATGTTCATTGCAAGAATGACTCATGGTTCGCTGCCAAGCACCACACATCCCGAATCACCGGGTATGGAGTCACGAGACTGTCCCACAATATAAAGCATAATCAGAGCCCCACACTTCCCTTGAAGGAGTGAGGTTGAATGCAAGACTGACTCACGGTTCACTGCCAAGTAACACACATCCCGAATCATCGGCACGGAGTCACGAGGCTGCCCCACAATAGCCAGCATAATCAGAGCTCGACACTTCCCTTGAAGGAGTGAGGTTGAATGCAAGATTGACTCATTGACTTGTTCACTGCCAAGGAACACACATCCCGATTCACCGGTTATCGAGTTACAAGGCTGACCCATGTTATCAAGCATATCAGAGCCCCACACTTCCCTTGAAGGAGTGAGGTTGAATTATAGCCTGACTCATCTTTCACTGCCAAGCAACACACATCCCGAATCACCGGGTATGGAGACAAGAGGCTGCCCCACAATATCCTGCATAATGAGAGCCCCACACTTTCCTTGAAGGAGTGAGGTTGAATGCAAGATTGAGTCATTGACTCGTTCACTGTAAAGAAACACACATCCCGATTCACCGGTTATGGAGTCACAAGGTTGCCCCACGTTATCAAGCATATCAGAGCCTCGCACTTCCCTTGAAGGAGTGAGGTTGAATGCAAGACTGACTCGTCACTCACTGCCAAGCAACACACATCCCGAATCACCGGGCACGGAGTCGCTTGGCAGAACCACATTATCAAGCATTATCAGAGCCCCACACTTCCCTTGAATGAGTGATGTTAAATGCAAGACTGACTCATCTTTCACTGCCAAGCAACACACATGCCGAATCACCGGGTATGTGGAGTCACAAGGCTGCCCCACATTTTCAAGCATAATCAGAGCCCCACACTTCCCTTGAAGGAGTGAGGTTGAATGCAAGACTGACTCATGGGTCAGTGCCAAGCAACGCACACCCCGAATCACCGGGTATGGAGTCACAAGGTTGCCCCACATGATCAAGCAAAATCAGAGCCCCACACTTCCCTTGAAGGAGTAAGGTTCATTGCAAGAATGACTCACGGTTTACTGCCAAGCAACACACATCCCGAATCACCGGGTATGGAGTTACAAGGCTGCCCCACATTATCAAGCATAATCAGACCCCACACTTCCCTTGAAGGAGTGAGGTTGAATGCAAGACTAACTCATGGTTCACTGCCAAGCAACACACATGCCAAATGACCGGTATGGAGTCACAAGGCTGCCCCACATGATCAAGCATATTCAGAGCCCCACACTTCCCTTGAAGGAGTGAGGTTGAATGAAAGATTGACTCATTGGCTCGTTCACTGCCAAGCAACACATATCCCGATTCACCGGTTATTGAGTTACAAGGCTGACCCATGTTATCAAGCATATCAGAGCCCCACACTTCCCTTGAAGGAGTGAGGTTGAATTATAGCATGACTCATCTTTCACTGCCAAGCAACACACATCCCGAATCACCGGGTATGGAGTCACGAGGCTGCCCCACAATATCCTGCATAATGAGAGCCCCACACTTTCCTTGAAGGAGTGAGGTTGAATGCAGGATTGAGTCATCGACTCGTTCACTGTAAAGAAACACACATCCCGATTCACCGGTTATGGAGTCACAAGGTTGCCCCACGATATCAAGCATATCAGAGCCTCGCACTTCCCTTGAAGGAGTGAGGTTGAATGCAAGACTGACTCGTCACTCACTGCCAAGCAACACACATCCCGAATCGACGGGCACGGATTCGCTTTACAGAACTACATTATCAAGCATAATCAGAGCCCCACACTTCCCTTGAAGGAGTGAGGTTGAATGCAAGACTGACTCAACTTTCACTGCCAAGCAACACACATGCCGAATCTCTGGGTATGTGGAGTCACAAGGCTGCCCCACATTATCAAGAATAATCAGAGCCCCACACTTCCCTTGAAGGAGTGAGGTTGAATGCAAGACTGACTCATGCGTCACTGCCAAGCAACACACATGCCAAATCACCGGTATGGAGTCACAAGGTTGCCCCACATGATCAAGCTTATTCAGAGCCCCACACTTCTCTTGAAGGAGTGAGGTTGGATGCAAGAATGACTCACGGTTCACTGCCAAGCAACAGACATCCCGAATCACCGGATATGGAGTTCCAAGGCTGACCCATTTTATCAAGCATATCAGAGCCCCACACTTCCCTTGAAGGAGTGAGGTTGAATGCAAGAATGACTGATGGTTCACTGCCAAACACACATGCCGAAACACCGGGTATGGAGTCACAAGGTTGCCCCACATGATCAAGCATAATCAGAGCCCCATACTTCCCTTGAAGGAGTGAGGTTGGATGCACGAATGACTCACGGTTCACTGCCAAGACACATCCCGAATCACCGGGTATGCAGTTAGAAGGCTGCCCCATGTTATCAAGCATATCAGAGCCCCACACTTCCCTTGACAGAGTGAGGTTGAATGCAAGCCTTACTCGTCATTCACTGCAAAGCAACACACATCCCGAATCACCGGGTATGGAGTCACAAGGCTGCCCCACAATATCAAGCATAATCAGAGCCCCATACTTCTCTTGAAGGAGTGAGGTTGAATGCAAGATTGACTCATTTACTTGTTTGCTGCCAAGCCACACATATCCCAAATCACCGGTTATGGAGTCACAAGGTTGCCCCACGTTATCAAGCATATCAGAGTCTCACACTTCCCTTGAAGGAGTGAGGTTGAATGCAAGACTTATTCGTCACTCACTGCCAAGCAACACACATCCCGAATCACCGGGTACGGAGTCGCTTGGCAGAACCACATTATCAAGCATTATCAGAGCCACACACTTCCCTTGAAGGAGTGAGGTTGAGTGCAAGACTGACTCATGGCTCACTGCCAAGCACCGCACATCTCAAATCACCTCGTATGGAGTCACAAGGTTGCCCCACATGATCAAGCAAAATCAGAGCCCGACACTTCCCTTGAAGGAGTGAGGTTCATTGCAAGAATGACTCACGGTTCACTGCCAAGCAACACACATTCCGAATCACCGGGTATGGAGTCACAAGGTTGCCCCACATTATCAAGCATAGTCAGAGCCACACACTTCCCTTGAAGGAGTGAGGTTCATTGCAAGAATGACTCAGGGTTCACTGCCAAGCAACACATATCTCGAATCACCGGGTATGGAGTCACAAGGCTGCCCCACATTATCAAGCATAATCAGACCCCACACTTCCCTTGAAGGAGTGAGGTTGAATGCAAGAATGACTCATGGTTCACTGCCAAGCACCACACATCCCGAATCACCGGGTATGGAGTCACAAGGCTGCCCCACATTATCAAGCATAATCAGAGCCCCACACTTCCCTTGAAGGAGTGAGGTTGAATGCAAGACTGACTCATGGGTGGGTCACTGCCAAGCAACGCACATCCCGAATCACTGCGTACGGATTCACAAGGTTGCCCCACATGATCAAGCATAATCAGAGCCCCACACTTCCCTTGAAGGAGTGAGGTTGGATGCAAGAATGACTCGTCACTCACTGCCAAGCAACACACATCCCGAATCACCGGGTATGGAGTCACAAGGCTGCCCCACATGATCAAGCGAAATCAGAGCCCCACACTTCCCTTGAAGGAGTGAGGTTGAATGCAAGACTGACTCGTTACTCACTGCCAAGCAACACACATCCCGAATCACCGGGCACGGAGTCGCTTGGCAGAACCACATTATCAAGCATTATCACAGCCCCACACTTCCCTTGAAGGAGTGAGGTTGAATGCAAGACTGGCCCAACTTTCACTGCCAAGCAACACACATGCCGAATCACCGGGTATATGGAGTTACAAGGCTGCCCCACATTATCAAGCATAATCAGACCCCACACTTCCCTTGAAGTAGTGAGGTTGAATGCAAGACTGACTCACGGTTCACTGCCAAGCAACACACATCCCGAATCACCGGGTATGGAGTCACAAGGCTGCCCCACATTATCAAGCATAAACCACCGGGTTGGTAGTTACTAGGTGTGCCCCAACGTTTACAAGTTACTAGGACAAGGACGTTTACAATAGGGAACAACGACTTCCACGATTTCAAATAAACAAAGGCGACTTACCTTTTTTTTGCGCTCGACTTTTGGCTATCGGTTGTTGTCGACCTGATCTTTCTCTCCCGAATTAGGTCACACGCTACTAGGGTCGCATTGCTTGAGGAATGTCTTTCAACAGGCCTAATGTCCTTATTGGTAAACGTATCAAATTATGCGATCCGTTCAAGCGGCAGCTATCTTTTGTATGGAAGCAGGCTCCGACTGAAACAAACAAAAGCGGACAGTTACTTTGATTGAAGAAAGCCCAGCTGCTAGGACTAGCAGGAGATGCAGTTCTCATAATAATGGCGCGCATGCGTACTGAGTCGGTGTTGTATTATTATTTTCCTCTCGGCGTGAAAACCTGTTGAAAACAGTGCAAATCTACAGGACCGGTTGAAGCTGCAAGGTTACCGGTATCTATGACTATGAGTATGACTCCTGCTCAATGAAATCCAGTCGAATCGCGCCACTTAGGTTTGCGCCTTGCACTGAGTCTGTCCTTTTCGCCGCCCAGTGGCAGTGCAGTGTAGATCTACGGGTGCACGGAAAAAATTCAGGTTGGCGTGAGACTAGCTCGGCTAGAGACCGACCTTTCCGCATCCATAGGAGCGCAACCACACCTCAAGCCACGCAACGCCGTTAAAAATTTCCAAGTCCGAGAATTTGCTAACTCCCTATGGTGTAAATACGGAAAAGACGCAAGAAATTGCCTCCGAGTGTCAGTGGTGGCAATTGGTGCGGGCAAAGGCTAGAAGGAAAAATTAGACAACCCTTGCTATACTTTAGCACTGGTAAGTCCAGTCCGAGAAGTACCAAAATGCGCACGGCGATTTTCGAAGGGTCGATAGATGATGGGGTGTGCGAGTGCAGTGCTACCTATGAGAGGGTGGGTGTTCGAGTTGATGGTCAGGGCCTGGGTGACTTCGACCAGTGTACAAGTAGGTCCGAAGGTTTGCACACGAATTTCGTGTGCTCTCCTGCACGGCTGAGTTTCCGATGATGATTTTGTAGCGGTGAAGTCTGATACGACAGATTCAATGCCCTAGCGGGTGAATGGCTCGAGAGGTTCGTAAGCGCTGAGGTGAAGTAGGATGTGCAAAGGCGATTACCGTGTGTGAGGGTGAAACAGTGTCAATTGTCTGCCGAAATCTCTGATCACAGCACAGGGGAACATCCTGGCCAAAGATTGCCATTGTGTGTCACTAAAGGGAGCGGGACATGAGAGCCGGACCTCGACCACGGTACAAGTAGGTCCGAAGGTTTGCACACGAATTTCGTGTGCTCTCCTGAATGGCTGAGTGTTTGATGATGATTTTCTAGTGATGAAAATCTGATTGGATAGATCCAATGCCTTGGCGGGTGAAAGGCTCGAGAAGGTCGTTACCGTCGAGGCGACGTAGGGTGTGCAAAGGCGATTCCCGTGGGCGAGGGGGAAAAAGTGTCGATTGTCTGCCGAAATTTCTGATCACGGCACAGGGGAGAGTCGTGGGCACGGAATACCATCGGGTCTCATTGAAGTGAGCGGGAGGCGTGAGATCTCGGCAATACCCAGGATTATGTGGACGAGGCTGAGCAGTGAGGATATGAATAGCACTCACAAAGTTTGCATGTGAGTGTGCTCTCCAGAGGGTTTGATGTTCGTGGCTGTTTTCACTCTCAACGAACATGCGTCGAGTGGTGCATGGAGTTCGCGGCTGAAAAGCTCGTACGGGTCAATGTGCTGACGGCTCGCAAGGTTCGATGTGATGATGTGAAGGCAGCGTCGGCAAAGGCTAGTTCCTGACCTGTGTGAAATGGAAAGCGTGTCGATTGTCGGGCGAAGAATCTAAACAGGACGTTCGGAAAAGCAATCGCACAGACAGAGCGAGTGACTTGAAACCTATTCTTGCTTGGTGCAAAACGGAACACGCTGGCGAGACATGGTGGGGATAAAGAGAGTAGTGAAACGTCATTCAGAAAGTTTGCACATGAATTTCGAGTAACTCCCACGTTTGATTGAGATTTTGAGTGGCAGTGTTTCTCTGCATGGGAACGGAAGAGTGAGGATGCTGAGGCGAAATAACGATATCCCTTCGGGGTACGAGTGCACGGAAAGAAATTCTGGTTGGCGTGAGACTCAGCTAGAGACCGAGCTTTCCACACCCGTAGGAACGCCACCACAGCACACGCCACGCCACGCCGTCAAAAATGTCAAAGTCCGAGAATTTGCTAACTCCCTATGGTGTAAATACGGAAAAGACGCAAGAAATTGCCTCCGAGTGTCAGTGGCGGCAATTGGTGCGGGCAAAGGCTGGAAGGAAAAATTAAACAACCCTTGCTATACTTTAGCACTGGTAAGTCCAGTCCGAGAAGTACCAAAATGCGCACGGCGATTTTCGAAGGGTCGATAGATGATGGGGTGTGCGAGTGCAGTGCTACCTATGAGAGGGTGGGTGTTCGAGTTGATGGTCAGGGCCTGGGTGACTTCGACCAGTGTACAAGTAGGTCCGAAGGTTTGCACACGAATTTCGTGTGCTCTCCTGCACGGCTGAGTTTTTGATGATGATTTTGTAGTGATGAAATCTGATTCGACAGATTCAATGCCTTGGCGGCTGAATGGCTCGAGAAGGTCGTTACCGTCGAGGTGACGTAGGGTGTGAAAAGGCGATTCCCATGTGTGAGGGGAAAAAAAGTGTCGATTGTCTGCCGAAATTTCTGATCACGGCACAGGGGAAAGTCGTGGCCGCGGATTACGATCTGGTCTCATTGAACTGAGCGGGAGGCGTGAGATCTCGGCAATGCCTAGGATTACGTGGACGAGGCTGAGCAGTGAGGATATGAATAGCACTCACCAGGTGTGCGTGTGAATCGAGTGTGCTCTCCAGAGGGTTTGATGTTGGAGGCTGTTTTCACTCTCGACGAACATGGGTGGAGTGGTGCAGGCATTTGCCCGTAAGGGGTTAGTGTGCTGACGGCTCGTAAGGTTCGATGTGATGACGTGAAAGTAGTGTCTGAAAAGTTTAGTTCCTGGGCTGCATGTGTGAGATGGAAAGCGTGTCGATTGTCGGGCGAAAAATCTGAGCAGGACAGGCGGAAAAGCACAGACAGTGCGAAAGAGTCGACTCGAGGGCAAGTGACTTGAAGGCTATTCGTGTTTGTCACAACACGGAACACGCGGGCGAGGCATGATGGGGATAAAGAGAGTAGTGAAACGTCATTCAGAAAGTTTGCACATGAATTTCGAGTAACTCCCACGTTTGTTCGAGTGGCAGTGTTTCTCTGCATGAGAACGGAAGAGTGAGGATGCTGAGGCGAAATAACGATATCCCTTCGGGGTACGAGTGCAGGGAAAAATTTCAGGGTGGCGTGAGACTCGGCTAGAGATGGAGCTTTCCACACCCGTAGGAACGCCACCACACCACACGGAAAAGCCTTGCGCAATTAGTGCGATCGTGTCGGAGTGAAGTAGTGAGCTGAGCGCTACTTGGTCATTCTGTTGGTTTTGCTTTGACAGGCTTGCTACCATTTGCTCTTGAACAATTTCCGATTCTTTCGATTGTTTGAACATGTACGCGGTATGCGTGATATGAATAATGGAAGGTGAGAGTATTTTTGAACTAGAAGGTTTGCACATGAATTTCGTGTGACTCACGCGGTGGATTGACTTTGTTTGGTGGTTATGTTTCGCTGTCGCGGTGTGGACGGAACATTGTCGATACTCGACGAATTGTTCAACCCTGCCACACGGAAAGAGCCAAGTGCATAGAGTGCGATTGTGTCGGGGTGAATGATTGTGTTGACGGCTGTTGGGGATTACGATCTGATGGCTTTGGGTAGACAGTTGGTGAGAACAGCATTAGCCGTGGGTGCGCTAGTCCGTATTCGCCACACTACACGCGAAGCGTTGACGAGTTTGATGAAGTGACAACACTGTTTAATTTGACGGAGGTTTGTGGGGAATGTTGAACGCGCACTGAGCAACACGAGTGGCGTGCTGAAAGACGCTCAGTTGTCTTGCTTCGAACATCTTCCCAAATCTAAACTTACACAAACCTCAATTCGTGTGTTCCTTGGTGTATCGAGGCATTCGCGATCGAATTTCTCATGAGCAACAATGTCATCATACTCATGGGCGCAATCGCCGAAGGGCGAGTTTTTCGACAAATAATTAATTCCTGGATCTCCTTCAAGACTTAGAGTCCTTGAAAGAAGATAAGTTTTGCCACGACCAAAATGGCTGTGGCACGCACGAGGCAGTAGGCAGACACGTGAGCTCCCACTGCACTGTTATTTGCAACCCACCATGGAAAACATGTACCATGATGCATGGTATACCATGGGAAGAAACGCGTCTTTTCGCTCCTACAATTTGTGTAGTCTCGCACCTTCACACTACATGCTGCAACTACACGTAGATCTACTTTATGTTAGTGAAAAGTAGTGGTGCATGTTGGAACGTTTACCACCGTATCGTGGGCAACTAACGATAGTAACGTGTTGTTACTTCGAAGTCATATGCAGATCTGCATGCAACCGGCAGTACTGCCATATCGGTGGTGGTGTAACGACTTTTACGTTACGGCCGTTATTACTAATCTATCTTCATTCAGGCTAGCTTAGCTGGGACAGTCGGCGGCAAAAAATTGACCCATGAAATCATTTGAACGATTTCCTTAGGTATTTTTTATAATTGTTTTGTTAGGATTTTATTCACTGTGTGCATCTACTCAATCTCCGTTCGACCATGATTCAGTGCTCACATTCTAATCTCTCCTTCTTCGAGTGTTTGCAATGTCTCACAATGTTAGGGTACCGGGTAGTACTGGCGTGGTGATGCCGCCACTGATTTTCGTGACCGTGCGCTACTGGCGCGGTGATGCCGCCACTGAATTTCGTGACCGTGCGCTACGTTTTGGAAACTGAGGCTTTGTGACGAGCGAACAGCTTTTCGCTTACTAGTTCAAGCGACCGCTAACAGCTGTGAACACCAATCTTGTCAGGAGCACGGCACATCTTCCGGATAATAGTATCAGCGTTGTTATGGCCATGGCCTAACTCTCTTCACCTAGAGCTGTGGAATTCTACTCCCTCCACAGTCCCCCACCCGACGTCTAATGGCTAGTTTTGAATGTAGCTTTGGGTGGACATGCGAGTCCCTGTAACAGCAAGAGAAGTTGCTACAAACTTCACGGAACGTCTACAAGAACATTGTCATGGGTCCATGGACCAGAGCTGAACTCTGCTTGGTTACAACTGCCTCATAGCAAGCAATTTTGGAACAACAATTTCAGCCAATGGCTGCACACAGTGACAATTGGATGTAGTTCTTGTTTCTGCATGGAGTGGCTGCTGTTTGTCCATGGACTGGCTGCTGTTTGTCCATGGAATGGCTGCTGTTTGGCCACAGAATGCCTGCTATTTTGCCACGGCATGCCTGCTGCTTGGACACGGAATGCCTGACATTTGGCCGCGGAATGCCTGACGTTTGGCCTCGGAATGCCTGACCTTTGCCCACGGAAAGCCTGACGTTTGGACACAGAATGGCTGCACGGTGGTTTCGGTACGCTTGGCACGTAAATACCTGCAAACATGTACAAGTGTCTCTGCAAGGAAACGGATGGAGTTCATGTCCACGGGTCACTTTGCTAGTGACTGAAAGGAGGTCAGTACTGTATTTTCCGGGTATTTTCCGCGGTGTTAGCCGCATCGGGGTCTAAGCCGCACTTTCCTTTTCGGGCCAAAATTTGTATCTTTTTTTGACATTCGGAGTATAAGACGCACGTCAGATTTTGAATTTTTGGCCATCCAAACTTGATGGGTACTAGTGCATACGAGACATTTAGCAATGGTTAAAAAGTTGAGAAGCACTACTGAAGTTCCAGCAAATGCTTCTTAGTTTGTCCCTCATGCGGAACTGACGGCATAGAGAGATCGTACAGCTGCAATGATGGATTTCTGTGCAACCGTTGCACCATCACCTACTCATACGGTGACCATGCTGCACTAGGCAGCACCGTTCAACTGCGCAACCCACAAGCAGTCAAATAAAAGCAGTCAATATGGCCCTAAAAAGGTCTAAGGAGTGAAATATGCAGGAAATATGCAGTAATATTTGACTGCTTAGGTATAGCGGAAATCAATGGGAGTCAATACTACAGTGCTGGAAACTGAAATCCGACCCGTGAGCGGTGCGGTGCGCTCACATCGCAAACACCCAACACGGGATAGTAAAACTACGAAATTGAGACCGCTAGAATGCGAACGCATCGCTAAGGGGTCGGATTTCAGTTGCCAGCACTGTAAGAAAGTGATAAACATGCATATTGTTCATGGCACGCTGTATCACTGGTTGATCCATGGCCAGCATTTGGAGTCTAAGCTGCAGGGGCAATTTTTGAGTTATTTTCGGCGTTAAAAAAAGTGCGGCTAACACCCCGGAAAATACGGTCATGATGTGCTAGTAGCTACGTGGGTCGCACCTAACTCTAAACGCTCACGACTCCACAGAAGCGGGAACAAGACCTGCGATTTTGTTCCTGAAAACACCAGTGCAAAGCAATCAGTGGCCAAGAACATTAGCAAAAGAACACCAAACTTGCACATGGGCTTGGTTACAAGACCGGGGGGGGGGGGGGATGTGGGTTTATCTCCGTGATGAGGGGGAGATGTGGCTTGCACCCCGTGTAGAGGGGGGGGGAGAGATGCGGTTTGCACTCCGTTAAAAAGCGGGGAGATGTGGATTGCATTCTGTGGAGAGGGAGAGGAAAATATGGCTTTCATTCCATAAAGAGGGGGGGGGGAGGGAGAGACATGCGGGTTGCACTCCGTAAAGAAGGGGGGGGGTCGCGGGGTAAAGCAGTGACGTCAGACTTCGACGCCTCTTGGCTTGCACCCCATAAGGGGGGGGGGGGCGGGCTGCGGCTTCCACCCTGTAAAATATAGTGCTCTTCAGTGTCCTTGGTCTTTCTTCTACTTGGTTATACTTCCTTTCAGAAGATCTACCGGCATACTTCTGGAAACGTTCTCCTCACCTCCAGAAGCGCCGTTCATATCAATATTCACAGCCATACTTGTTCCTGTGTTGCCAGCTGCTACATTCTGTGATCCAATGGACATTCTACCAAGTGAGTAACTGCGCTCCGAAAGAGATTTTGAATTGTTCAAAGTTCTACTATCGTTTTTTTTTAAATCCACTACAATGGAGCATCTCTGGAAGCTGATCCGGATTTTTGATATACAAACTTGAACTTGCATATTTTCAAGACCTTTGACATCCTTTCAAATGTGTGTGCATGTGTGTTTGGGGAGGGGGGTGGGTGCCGTGTGCGTTTGGTGTGTTCAGTGTGTGTATCCACTCTAGATTAGCAACCCGCTCTAATATGAAGTGTTACTTCACTGGGGCAGGACAAAATGCAGTTTTTCTGCACCTTGTCCTCACCCACTGACTGTATGTGTTTGGGGTGTGCATCCACTCTAATTCCTTTGAATGATTCCATGCCATTTCGGCGCCGTCAAGTTCAGCGCCAACCAGGTGTGCGCGACTGTTTATGTTCGCCGTGAACATGTTCAAACATAAACGCCGACCTCAGCACCACAGATCTAAGCGCCAATTTACTATACAATGTATGTATGAACATCGCCTGTTGTGACTATGACTGTACAAGTATTGACTTTGCGCTGTACTGTATCACGCTGTACTTTATCGCGCCGAACTGTACTGCGCTGTACTTTATCGTGCTGTACTTTATCGCGCTGTACTTTATCGCGCTGTACTTTATCACGCTGTACTGTACTGCGCTGTACTTTATCGCGCTGTACTGTATCACGCTGTACTGTACTGCGCTGTACCTGATCGCGCTGACCTTTTTCGCGCTGTACATTACCATGCCTTACTTTTTGCGCTGTAAATAATAATTATCGCGCCTTACTTTTTCGCGCTGAGTTGCTGGTGCTGTACTTTACCGCACTGATAGTCATGACGCTGATAATGGCGCTGTGAAATCAGGCACTGAAGTGCTGGCGCTGAAATGCATCGTGCTGAAATGGTCGCGCTAAGGGCCGGGTTCCACTGCGGCTCCGCTGCTCGTCTTTCGCGGCTTGAAACGTCATCATTACCATAGTGACCGCGGCTCGAGCTGGAGCAGCGAGTCCGCGGCTAACCGCGAGCTTTTGCTACGATTCTTGACCAAAAACTGCGAGCCGCAGTCGCGGCTCGACCTGTTTCCCGTACTTTGCATTGTTTTGTACGCCAGAATTTTAAAATTCAAATTTTAATTCGTAGCGCAGGCCAGAACACGAGGATTTTTTGGATTTCGCGCGCGCGCGCGCAGGCGGGTGAAACGTCATCAAAAGTGTGGAGCACGACCGCGGTACCGCAAATGGCGAGTGTCAGTGGAACCGCGCTGCTCCGCTGCATGCAGCCAAGTGCCACGGAGCAGCGGAGCCGCAGTGGAACCCGACCCTTAAGTGGCAAGTCACCCTTTGAATTTCTCTCCCCTCTCTCAGGGAGACTCATGTGACCAGTTTCTGGCAGTGACTAAGTACAAATGGGGGGGGGGGTGGATTGCTCTCCGTAAAGAGGGGGAGATGCGGCTTGCACTCCGTAAAGAGGGGGGAGATGCGGCTTGCACTCTGTAAAGAGGGGGGGGGGGGAGGGGAGATGCGGTTTGCACTCTGTAAAGAGGGGGGGGGGGGGAATGTGGCTTTCATTCCGTAAAGAGAGGGGGGAGAGATGCGTCTTGCACTCCGTAAAGAGGGGGCTGGAGGGGTGCGCGGTTGCAGCTCGGGGTGAGGCAGTGACGTCATGACTTTGACGGCCTCTTGGCTTGCACCCCATGAAGAGGGGGGGGGGGGGTTATGCGGCTTGCACCCTGTAAAATATAATGCCCTTCAGTGTCCTTGGTCTTTCTTCTACTTGGTTATACTTCCTTTCAGAAGATCTACCGGCATACTTCTGGAAACTTTCTCCTCACCTCCAGAAGCGCCGTTCATTTCAATATTCACAGGGCCATACTTGTTCCTGTGTTGCCAGCTGCTACATTCTGTGATCCAATGGACATTCTACCAAGTGAGTAACTGCTGCTCCGAAAGAGATTTCGAATTGTTCAAAGTTCTACTATCGTTTTTTTTTAAATACACTACAATGGAGCATCTCTGGAAGCTGATTCGGATTTTTGATGCACGAATTTGAACTTGCATACTTTCAAGACCTTTGATATCCTCATCTCAAATGCATGCACACACGTGTGTGTTTGGTAAGGGGGGGGGGGGTGCTGTATGTGTTTGGTGTGTGTATCCACTCTAGATTAGCAACCCGCTCTGATAAGAAGTGTTATTTCACTGGGGCAGGACAGAATGCAGTTTTTCTGCACCTTGTCCTCACCCGCTTTACAGTGTGGTGAGTCCGTATGTGCGACCATTCCCAAATGAATATGAAACAAGGATGTTGAGCCAATAATAATAATAATAACAATAACTAACTTGTAGCTTCGTAACTTGTGGTTCCTTGGTCTTTCTCTTTTGTATAAATTAAACCTTGGCTCTCCATCTGAGTAAATAATAATAATAATAAATTTTTTGAAAGGATTGGGAGAACTTCAAATTCAAAGGATCAGTTGGGGAAGTGAACTGCCTGAAAAGAGAAAAAAATCGCCAGACCTACCAGGACTCTAACCCGGGACCTTGCTTGTCATGAGCGATGCTCTAACCACTGAGCTTTGGGACCAGGCTGAACCTAGAAGGCGCTGACAAGTTTTTCACTCCAAAGGCAGCTCACAACACGTGAAACTGACCGTGGTTGGTCCCCTGGGGGAGGGAGAAAGACCTAAGTGCCATCAGTATGTGTGGCACGTGTTGTGAGCTGCCTTTGGAGTGAAAACTTGTCGGCGCCTTCTAGGTTCAGCCTGGTCCCATAGCTCAGTGGTTAGAGCATTGCTCATGACAAGCAAGGTCCCGGGTTCGAGTCCTGGTGGGTCTGGCGATTTTTTCTCTTTTCAGGCGGTTCACTTCCCCAACTGATCCTTTGAATAATAAAATAATATTAGTTACTGTAAGACATGTATATATAACGAGGAAGCAAATCTAACGTTTTAACGGATGACATTTCTTCGTTATAATAAGATCCGTTGAGGCCGTACTGCTTCATATATGCTGTGTGTGGATATGGCAGAATACTGCAAGATCGTTAACGTATCTTCTCGTTAACCTATGAATTTTGGACAATCGTTAAATTTGCGACTCGTTATAATAACATGTCTTACAGTACTCTTTTAACTAGTATCCATCTATTCCTTTCCTTTCTCTATTCCCAAGTCAACCCAGTGTTTCGAAGAGGGAGTCACCCGTTGTTCAATGACCAATGGAGCCATCTTTCCAATCCTAGATTTTTCCTTTGAATGATTCTATGCCATTTCGGCGCCGTCAAGTTCAGCGCCAACCATGTGAGCGCGACCGTTTCTGTTCGCCGTGAACATAAACGCCAAATTTTACAGCGCGACATATTTCAGTGCTGTATACTTCAGGGCCAGCAGACTAGCGCCGAATATCATATCTCAGCGCCATATATTTCAACGCCAAATATGTCAGCGCGACATGTCTCAGCGCCACAAATCTAAGCGCTATGTTTCTCAGCACAAATTTATTATGCAATGTATGTATGAACATCGCCTGTTGTGACTATTACCAAGAGTACATAACCCCAAGAGTGTGCAACTGCCTGCACAACCTCTATGCTGTGCTGCGACGGCAGAACTTCACATCACGTGACATGGTTCAAAAGGTTATGCTGGCAAACAGTGCAAAGTGACCACAAGAGAGTTGTACCCAAAGCTGGGCTGCGTACAACCCAGTATCTATCATGCACAGAGTGCACGGGTTCATCACGTGATGTGAAGTTCTGCCGTCGCAGACCCCATAGCTGGAGTTGCACACTCTTGGGGTTATGTACTCTTGCTATTACTGCACAAGTATTGACTTTGCGCTGTACTGTATCGTGCTATTCTGTATCACGCTGTACTTTATCACGCTGTGCTTTATCGCGCTGTACTGTATCGCGCTGTACTTGATCGCTCTAAACCTTTTCGCGCTGTAAATTACCACGCCTTACGTGTTCCGGCTGAGTTGCTGGCGCTGTACTTTACCGCGCTGATAGTCATGGCGCTGAAGAAGCTGGGGCTGTGAAATCAGGCACTGAAGTGCTGGCGCTGAAATGCACCGCGCTGAAAATGTCGCGCCGAAGTGGCAAGTCACCCTTTAAATTTCTCTCCCCTCTCTCAGGGAGACCCATGTGACCATGTGACCGGTTTCTGGCAGTGAAGCTTAGTTTACATTGGACGGAACGCTGACGGTACGGGATGTAAGGGCCTGTCTGGAATGCTAGACCGAGCTGTAAAATCTTGTATGATTCGTACCACACGACCTGCTGCAGTTGTTGAGTCGTTCAACAGGGAACGGCACGAGTCATAAGGCACGGTCCGTGACGGGGTGACTTTCGGACCTAATTTCTCGTTTCTCGGGACTTCTTTTCAATTATTTCTCCTTGAAAGAAGCGGAATCAAGTCCACGATACCAGTTTTTCATGAAGACCAAAAAATTCGCCTTGAAAGTTGTGGCATCCAAATAATAGCCCCAGGAAATGATAGAATAGTTCATCTGTCATGCTCCTTAACTATCCCTAAATACAATAAATGACATGAGATCTTATCTTGCTAAAATTCAACTCAAGTCGTGCTGGCCATTCTGTGAGTTATCATGGGAAGCGCAGTGTTCGAAATGTTAAACATTTCCAATTAAGAATTAGGAGTAGTCGGCGCACTACGCCGTCTCCTGTTCACACTCAAATTGCAGCCGTTTTGTATGCTTGCGTCCCCGTTTACGGTATGAAAAGTTGAATCGATCCAACTCTTCCCCTCGCTTCCCGATCTGTACGGTACTACGGTTGTGTTCCCGTTCCTGGTGTTCATATTGGACGCCGTTAGACCGTCCCGTCGCTTCCCGTTGATTATTACATCGCGTCCCGTCACGCCCCGTAGAATGTGAACTAGACTTGACTAAGTACAAATGGACGGAGGGAGGGGGGGGGGGGGTGGAGTACTCTCCGTAGAGAGAGAGAGGGGGGGGGGGGCGGCTTGCACTCCGTAAAGAGGGGGGGGGGGGATGCGGTGTTGCAGCTCGGGGTGAAGCAGTGACATCAGACTTCGACGGCTTCTTGGCTTACACCCCATAAAGAGTTGGGGGGGGGGGGGGGCTGCGGCTTGCACCCTGTAAAACACAGTGCTCTTCAGTGTCCTGGGTCTTTCTTCTGCTTGGTTATACTTCCTTTCAGAAGATCTACCGGCATACCTCTGGAAACTTTCTCCTCATCTCCAGAAGCGCCGTTCATTTCAATATTCACAGCCATACTTGTTCCTGTATTGCCAGCTGCTACATTCTGGGATCCAATGGAAATTCTACCAAGTGAGTATCCGCTGGTCTGAAAGAGATTTCGAATAGTTCAAAGTTCTGCTACAGTTTTTTTCTAATCCACTACAAATGAGCATCTCTGGAAGCTGATCCGGATTTTTGATATACGAATTTGAACTTGCAACTTTTCAAGACCTTTGATATCCTCTCAAATGTCTGCACACACGAGGGGGGGGGGTGTTGTATGTGTTTGGTGTGTGTATCCACTCTAGATTAGCAACCCGCTCTAATATGAAGGGTTTCTTCACTGGGGCAGGACAGAATGCAGTTTTTCTGCACCTTGTCCTCACCCACTGACTGCAGTGTGGTGAGCCCATATGTGCGATCATTCCCAAGTCAATATGAAACAAGGATGTTGAGCCAATAATAATATAATAATAGTTGCTCTTAACTAGTATCCATCTATTGCTTTCCTTTCTGTATTCCCAAGTCAACCCAGTGTTTCGTAGAGGGGATCACCCGTTGTTCAATGACCAATCGAGCCATCTTTCCAATCCTAGATAATTCCTTTAAATGATTCCATGCCATTTCGGCACAGTCAAGTTCAGCGTCAACCAGGTGAGCGCGACCGTTTATGTTCGCCGTGAACTTAAACGCTGAAGGTTACAGCACGACATATTTCAGTGCTGTGTACTTCAGGGCCAGCAGACTAGCGCCACATAAATCAGCGCCATATATTTCAGCGCCAAATGTGTCAACGCGACAGATCTCAGCACCACAGATCTAAGCGCCATGTTTCTCAGCGCCAATTTATTATAATGACTGTGTGTATGAACATCGCCTGTTGTGACTATTACTGTACAAGTATTGACTTTCCGCTGTACTGTATCACGCTGTACTTTATCACGCTGTACTTTATCACGCTGTACTTTATTGCGCTGAACCTGATCGCGCCGTACTTGATCGCGCCGTACTTGATCGCGCCGTACTTGATCGCGCCGTACTTGATCGCGCCGTACTTGATCGCGCCGTACTTGATCGCGCCGTACTTGATCGCGCCGTACTTGATCGCGCCGTACTTGATCGCGCCGTACTTGATCGCGCCGTACTTGATCGCGCCGTACTTGATCGCGCCGTACTTGATCGCGCCGTACTTGATCGCGCCGTACTTGATCGCGCCGTACTTGATCGCGCCGTACTTGATCGCGCCGTACTTGATCGCGCTGACCTTTTTCGCGCTGTAAATTATCGTGCCTTCCTTTTTCGCGCTGAGTTGCTGGCGCTGTACTTTACCGCGCTGATAGTCATGGCGCTGTGAAATCAGGCACTGAAGTGCTGGCGCTGAAATGCATCGCGCTGAAACGGTCGCGCTGAAATGGTCTCGCTGAAGTGGCAAGTCACCCTTTGAATTTCTCTCCCCTCTCTCAAGGAGACCCGTGTGACCAGTTTCTGGCAGTGTCTAAGTACAAATGGGGGGGGGGGGGGTACTCTCCGTAAAGAGGGGGGGGGGGGGGTACTCTCCGTAAAGAGGGGGAGATTCAGCTTGCACTCCGTAGAGAGGCGGGGGAGATGCGGTTTGCACTCAGTAAAAAGGCGGGGATATGTGGATTGCACTCTGTAAAGAGGGGGGGGGGGGGGGAGATGTCGCTTTCATTCCGTAAAGAGGAGGGGTGGGGGAGGGGGGTGGATGCAGGGTTGCAGCTCGGGGTGAAGCAGTGACGTCAGACTTCGACGGCCTCTTGGCTAACACACCATAAAGAGGCAGGGGAGGGGGGGGGGGGGGTGGGAGGCTGCCGCTTGCACCCTGTAAAAATACAGTGCTTTTCAGTGTCCTTGGTCTTTCTTCTGCTTGGTTATACTTCCTTTCAGAAGATCTACCGGCATACCTCTAGAAACGTTCTCCTCACCTCCAGAAGCGCCGTTCATATCAATATTCGCAGCCATCCTTGTTCCTGTATTGCCAGCTGCTAAGTTCTGTGTAAAGAGAGGGGGGGGGGAGAGATCCGGCTTGCACTCCGTAGGGGGGGGGGGGGGGGAGGGGGGAGAGATCCGGCTTGCACTCCGTAAAGGGGGGGGGGGGAGATGCAGCTTGCACTCCGTAAAGAGAGGGGGGGGGGGGGGAGATGCATACTGTACATGTATGATAATCAAGACTCACTCTTGATTCAAAATGTACTCACTCTTGATTGAAGAGTGAGTACATTTTCCGAGAGACTGACATGAGTGTGCAACTGCGTGTACAATCTTTATTCAGTGCTGTGATGACGGTAGAGTTTCATATCACATCAGTAGGTTCAGCTTCAGTAGCTATATAGGTTATGTGGGAAAGCAGTGCAGAATGACCACCAGAGAGTTGTACCCGAAGTAGGGTGGCATACAACCCTGGAGCTGTTCAAAGGGTGCAAATAGTGTGTCCGGGTTTTGGTCACGTGACGTGATGCTCTGCTGTTGTAGACCTCGTAGACTGGAGTTGCACAATCTGGGCTGTTATGTACTCTTCATGATAATAATTATGGTGTTGGCTCGTCAACCTCAGGACGCATGAATCTATCGTCCGTTGCTCGACTTCAATTACCTTATGCAAGATGTAGAAGATCTTTGCATTTTTATCTGTCCATGCATGTTCGATCAATGAGCCGAATGGCCACAAAATTCTGAGGTCCTCGGAAACAATCCGCCATGGACCACGAGAACACTGACTTGCATTCTTCGTTAGGCCGGGCCGTCTATAATAATCTCTCCGTTATACAAAACGGAAATGTTTCATTTATGCGTGGGTGTGTTGGGGAGAGTTTTGTTTTGAAAAATATTGGTAGTCGAAACATCAATCCATTCTAGCTGTCAAGTCGATACAATTTTCGTTGGGGGGGGGGGGGGGGGATGGTCGTAACTAAACCTTTTCGTTCTGTGAAAATCATCGATAATGCCGGATGGCTGCATTGGACTATGCACTCTTGATGGTACAGAATGATTTGAGGTTGTAACTTGTAGGCTAGATTTGACTGTCCTTGAACAAGTAGCTTGATTACACTGAAACATCATTAGAGAGATTATGATGCTTTCGTTGTGAACGCGTGTAGCTGCATTTGCACGTCAACACGTCACCCACGTTGCGCGTGTTGTGTTAGAATACACTCGGCGTGTATGTGAACTTGCACCTCTGCATACTCATGGGGACAGAACACACTACTCTATGTGCTTGCATTCATTTTCCAGCTATTGTTGAGTCTCGACAAGCAACATGTGCGCAACACAGGGAAATGCTCCACAAAGTACTGAATACACTCAGGCGTATGTGTGTGTGTATGTGTGTGTGTGTGTGTGTGTGTGTGTGTGTGTGTGTGTGTGTGTGTGTGTATGTGTGTGTGTATGTGTGTGTGTGTGTGTGTGTGTGTGTGTGTGCGTGTGTGTGTGTGTGTGTGTATGTGTGTGCGTGCGTGTGTGGACTGCCGGTCATGATTTGTCTGGCTGGACCTTGGAGGGTTTCACCCACACAATGTCGTATGGCATGGCCATTCGGTGTGCATGTGATGCGCATCCTAATCTCTTTATTGTGTGTGTCTATGTGTGTGTGTGCGTGTGCGTGTGTGCATGAATGTGTGTGTGTGTGCAGATTGGCCAGGTTCACCGGCAGTGTTTTCGTGAAGTCCTGAAAAGAGGTCTTGTTCGCAGACAAGGGCACACAGCCTTGTCATGGACTTGGGGCGTCAATGGCTGCATATGGCAACTGCTAGTTTGTCTGAAAACTACATCTCACAACCTCAGTGGATCCAGCTTGCCCAGTATTGGAGAGACTCTGATGATCTTAGCCATCCGAAACCACCAAGCCAACTGAAGTTGAGAGTATTATGTTGTCTGAACCTGTCATCGTAAGTTCCGGGTCAACTGTGCAGCTGCGTGAAATCATACCCTGCTGCAGCTGTTCACTTCATGTACAGCTCCAGTGATGTTTACATTATAGCTCTTAAAGTGGCTATGTAGCACTTTCTGCAATGCTTACATGTTGTACTTGTAACACTGCTGCTGCTGCTGCTGCATGTTGTACTGAGCGGACGTATGCACTGGTACATCAATACTGTGTTACTTGCTATACTGGAAGTGCAGTGGTGCCAACCTATCATGAATATTCAGTGATTGGCATACTGTGGCACTGCCCTTGCCATCACTTCTCTAGCCACTAGTGACTTGAAGTGCAACGGTGCGGTCATTGCGCTTGTACAGTCCATTTCAAAACTATAGACGCGTAGGGGTTTTGAAATATTTCAAATTTGGCTGGACCTTTTTGAGAATAGTTTTCGGAATATTGCTCAGGATCGCTCCACAATTACTCTCATATAGTTTCTAAACGATTGGATAACAGACGCCCAATTTCGAAAATTGGTATAGATGCTGACATAACGGTTTTTGCCTAGGTACGCGTCTATAGTTTTGAAATGGACTGTAGTATCGCACTGGTGTTGTTCTTCTCCCCCCCCCCCCCCGTCTGTCTGTCTGTCTCTCTCTCTCTCTTCTTGATGGATCGAGTGTGTGCAGCTGTGATTCTGTTCTTGCTTTGTTTATACCGTCATGATTGTGTTCTTTCTGTGTGTTTGCCTGCAGTCCCTGCCGTTCTTGTGTTCTGTGTGCGTATGGTGATGGGTGTGTCATCAGCTAATGCATGGCTGACTAGCTACACTCCCCAGCATGCACTCTCTCATACTTGACTCTAAGGCAAAGTGACTGAGTAGCCATGGTAGCTGCTATCTTGTTAGACTGTGTGCTAGTACTTGTGTTCTTGGCATGATAGGTAGAAATATGATTGATTGACTGTCATCAGGTGGAATCAGAGTTGCAGTTGAGAACTTTGCAAATGCTGCTAGGACTTGCTCAACTCTGATTGGCTGAGGGCAGTCACTCTGATTGGCTGAGGGCAGTTGACTGATCATTTCAGGTGTGAAGTTCAGAGCCAGGATAGGCTATAAAAGTAATCATTCTAGGAGGGGATGGTGGTCGGGGTTTGGGATGGCCAGAATTTTGCATTTTTCTTCTCGGCTTGAACTCTTGTTGTTTCTGCATGAGGAAGGAAAAGGAGAAGCACTGAACTTTTGTTGTTTCTGCATGAGGAAGGACACTGATGGCCTCTGAACTCTTGTTGTTTCTGCATGAGGGTAGACTTTTCCGGCTTATTTCTCCTTCGTCATGCAGACACAACACCAGCCATCAGCAAGCCAAGAAGGAAACACTTGCTGAGCTCTGATTGGCTGAGGGCGGTTGACTGGTCATTTCAGGTGTGAAAATCAGAGCCAGGATACACACACACACACACACACACACACACACAATACTATTGAATTTTCTTCGCCGGCTTGCTGGTGGCTGCTGTCCTTCTTCCTGCAGAAACAAACACACAATATGGACATGCAGAGAAGTCATGCACTGTGAATCTCCTGTACAGACACTGCAGCTATATATCCATACTGTTACACGTTACAAGACCAAATTGAATTCAAGGAAAGAATCTGTCCCTCCAGAAACTCGAGGAGAAATTTCAGAAATATCGCGGAAAACGTTGCGAGGTAAAATGCCACAAATTGCAGGGAATATTGCGGGGTCTGTCAAAAATTGCAGCAAAGTATTACTGTGGTCAAATTGCGGAAATTTCCGGCAATTTTGGTACTTGTAGCGTGGTACGAGTCGTACAGCATAAATCATGCAGACAAAACAGAATGTGTGCTTCGCTGAAGACAAGTGAGTTACAGTACTATAAGTACTCGACTGTCTGCAACTGCCTGACACGAGCTTGCAAGACGGCTTTTCTCCATCCTCGGAGAACACTTGACAAGTTTGTTAAGTGCTTTCGCAGTTTTTCCTGTTATTACCTTAGTGCTAGGATCATCATTTTCATAGGTGTTGTTTCTTCTCACTCCATTTCTCTTTATTAGTATCTTTCTGGATTGTTTTTCATTAGTACAACGTAGCTTCCTGAGGAGTGTCGTGCGAAAACTAGTTCGAAGTACGATTTTTTGTTCATCATTTCTTCCATATCACATTTTTTCTTTCTTCCATGTTCTTCACTGCCTTCGTAGCCACTCGTTTTTTGAATACAATAAAAGCCTTTGTGAAATGTCGGTTCAGCTCGTTCTGTTGATCGCAATTCTAAAATCATTATTATTATTTTCACTAGTTTGAGGGAAAGAGACAAACGGGAAAAGTCTGAAGAAAAAATTGACTGTCACCATCAGGACTCGAACCAGGGACCCTCGCTTGTAGCTAGCGATGCTCTAACCACTGAGCTATGGTGTATTATTATTATTATTATTATTATTATTGGCTCGACATCCTTGTTTCATATTGACTTGGGAATGATCGCACATATGGGCTCACCACACTGCATGCAGTCAGTGGGTGAGGACAAGGTGCATAAAAACTGCACTTTGTCCTGCCCCAGTGAAGTAACACTTCATTTTAGAGCGAGTTGCTAATCTAGAGTGGACACACACACCAAACACATACAGCTACCCCCCCCCCCCCTTACCAAACACACACGCACACACATTTGAGAGGATATCAAAGGTCTTAAAATATGCAAGTTCAAAATCGTGTATCAAAAATCCGGATCACCTTCCAGAGATGCTGCTTTGTAGTGGATTTAAAAAATAAACAATAGTAGAACTTTGAACTATTCAAAATCTCTTTCGGAGCAGCGGATACTCACTTGGTAGAATGTCCATTGGATCACAGAATGTAGCAGCTGGCAATACAGGAACAAGTATGGCTGTGATTATTGAAATGAACGGCGCTTCTGGAGGTGAGGAGAACGTTTCCAGAGGTATGGCGGTAGATCTTCTGAAAGGAAGTAGAACCAAGCAGAAGAAAGACCCAGGACACTGAAGAGCACTGTATTTTACAGGGCGCAAGACGCAGCCCCCCCCCCCCCCTCTTTATGGGGTGCGAGCTAAGAGGCTGTCGAGGTCTGATGTCATTGCTTCACCCCGAGCTGCAACCCAGCACCCCCTCTTTACGGAGAGTAATCCACACCTCCCCCCCCCCCCCCATTTGTAATTAGTCACTGCCAGAAACTGGTCACATGGGTACCATGGGTCTCCCTGAGAGAGGGGAGAGAAATTCAAAGGGTGACTTGCCACTCCAGCGCGACCGTTTCAGCGTGATGCATTTCAGCGCCAGCACTTCAGTGCCTGATTTCACAGCGCCAGGACTATCAGTGCGGTAAAGTACAGCGCCAGCAACTCAGCGCGAAAAAGTAAGGCGTGATAATTGTTATTTACAGCGCGAAAAAGTTCAGCGCAATAAAGTACAGCGCGATCAAGTAACAACGTGATCAAGTAACAACGTGATCAAGTACAGCACAGTACACTGCAGAGTGGGTAAGGACAAGGTTCAGAAAAACTGCATTGTGCAGTGGCCAATGAAGTAACACTTCATTTTAGAGCGGGTTGCTAATCTAGAGTGGACACACACACCAAACACATACAGCACTCCCCCCCCCCCCTTACCAAACACACACGCACACACATTTGAGAGGATATCAAAGGTCTTAAAAATATGCAAATTCAAAATCGTATATCCCCGAGCTCTCTGCATCGCCCCGCCCCCCCCCCCCCCCTTCCTGATGGAGTTCAAGCCGCATCCCCCCCCCCCCTTGACGGGGTGCAAGCCGCAACCCCCTTCTTTACGGAGTGAAAGCCACATCTCCCCCTTTTTACGGAGTGCAAATCGCATCCCCTTTTTGCGGAGTGCAAACCGCATCTCCCCCCCCCCCCCCTCTTCACGGGGTGCAATCTCCCCAAACTGCACCCCCCCCCGCCGCTCTTTACAGAGTACCGTATTTTCCGGGGTATAAGCCGCACTTTTTTCGCTAAAAATCAGACCAAAATCGCCCCTGCGGCTTATACACCGAATATGCTTGCGCGAATGAATGCTTAGCATACATCAGTATGCATGCTGACGTCATGTGACATGTCATTCGACTCAGCTTCGCGCCTGTGTTGCTATCCCGGCACTTTTACTAGTTTTAGTGCGCGGGCTACACCATACGGTACGCATATACGGGGACTCTATTTTGCGTACTGCAAGTGCCGGTTTCCACACATCCTAGTATACAGCGATACGATAATACCATGGAGTGATCTGTAGTCAACATGGAGTGATCTGTAGTCAACACAGCAATACACCAACATCTCTGCAGCAACCTGTGGTGCACTAACACTTCATAATCTGATCTAACATGGTATTTAGCTCCACAACCATAATAAATTTGTAGAAAGGCCATTTGTCAATGAGTGTGAAAAATCTTGGTTCGTAGGTGCGGCTTATACTCCGAATACCAACTTTTAGTCAATATTTTGCCTCAAAAAGGGGGTGCGGCTTATACCCCGGAAAATACGGTACAAGGCGCATCTCCCCCCCCCCCCCCCCCACTTTTTCGGGGTGCAAGCCGTATCTCCCCCCCCCCCTCTTTACGGAGTGCAAGCCGCATCTCCCCCCCCCCCCTCCCTTTATGGAGTGCACACCAGTATCACAGGATTCCACTTGATTCAGATGAACATTCAATCCACATCACTTGGTGGATGAACATTTGTCCAGTCAATTCAGGATTCCGCTTGGTACAGAGTGCGGTAAACACAGGCTTTACGGCAGGACGATACATGCACCATTAAAAGGCTATAGACCCCAAGAGTGTGCAACTGACATTGGCGTTGTGCTTGGAAGGCAAATTGCAGGCATGAAGTTTGTAGAAAGTGAGAATTAAACACCAGGCATTTGTGCTGATTTGTTCTTGTTTTGAAAGCCCGTGATTATTCACTTTAAATTGTAGAAGAGTAACACGATTGTGAACCAAGGTGTCAAATCTGCACTAGCAGCAGCAACAACATTACCAGCAGAAACAACAGCAGCAGAGTTTAGCTGCTGTTCTCTTTTCCATCTTGTGCTCTTCCTGCATTCATATACTTATTGGTTTGTGCTTTCATGAAAAACGTTTCGGCCGCAGCATGATCAGCAGCAGTGAATGTTGTTGAAACAACATTGGCATTTGTAGCATAACATGAGAAAGCGTTATTAACTTACCAGAGTAGATGGTCCTTGGCTTATAATGCCTGCCGATAGCAACTCATACTTCACATGAAGTAGACTCAGACTGAGTTACAGACAACCTAGCACAGGCGATATTCGTGAAGAAAAAGAAAATGTACAAGTGCACACTTATATACATGCACCGTGACATATGAGAGGTGAAATGAACAAGCCGACAGCCACACACATACCGACAAACAAAAACAGGTACACACCTTTGCTCACACACACATTACACGAGCATGCATGTACCACACACACACACCATTTGACGCCCATCGCCAGAGGCGATGATAGCGAACCTACAGCAGAAGCCAGAGCAGCTTGTGCTGGGATTGCACCATTCAACAGCTTGCAAAGCTGAAGAATTGACGGCCACTATTCAGCCTGGTCTACACCACACAGCTATGAAGTGACTTTTGCTGGCCAGTGAATCCCTACTTTTTGGTCTTTTTCATTTTTTGTTTTGTTTCCCGCACACACATCACACACACACACACACACACACACACACACACACACACACACACACACACACACACACACACACACACACATAGACACACACAATAAAGAGATTAGGATGCGCATCACATGCACACCGAATGGCCATGCCATACGACATTGTGTGGGTGAAAGCCTCCAAGGTCCAGCCACACAAATCATGACAGTACACACACACACACACACACACACACACACACACACACACACACACACACACACACACACACACACACACACACACACACACACACACACACACACACACACACACACAGACACAGAACAAAAGAACGGCAGGGACTGCAGAGAAACACACAGAAAGAACACAATCATGCATTGCAAGTTGGCTAGAGAAGTGATGGCAAGGGCAGTGCCACAGTATGCCAATCACTGAATATTCATGATCGGTTGGCACCACTGCACTTCCAGTATAGCAAGTAACACAGTATTGATGTACCAGTGCATACGTCCGCTCAGTACAACATGCAGCAGCAGCAGCAGCAGCAGCAGCAGCAGTGTTACAAGTACAAGATGCAGCAGCAGCAGCAGCAGCAGCAGCAGCAGCAGCAGTGTTACAAGTACAACATGTAAGCATTGCAGAAAGTGCTACGTAGCAGCCACTTTAAAAACTAGAATGTAAACATCACTGGAGCTGTACATGAAGTCAACAGCTGCAGCAGGGTATGATTTCACGCAGCTGCACAGTTGACCTGTGTTTTTTGCTGCTGCACACACAGTCATCAGACCACGGAACACACGCCAACACACCTTTGGGTATGCTCTTTCCCGAAAGCGATGATAGCTGTTAAGCGAGACAGTGATTCTGTGATCAGACAAGTTATTATGATGACGGAACTTACGATGACAGGTTCAGGCAAATACTCTCAACTTGAGTTGGCTTGGTGGTTTTGGATGGCTAAGATCATCAGATTCTTTCCAATACTGGGCAAGCTGGATCCACTGAGGTTGTGAGATGTAGTTTGCAGACAAACTAGCAGCTGCCATATGCAGCCATTTACGCCCCAAGTCCATGACGAGGCTGTGTGCCCGTGCTGTCTGCGAACAAGACCTCTTTTCAGGACTTCACGAAAACACTGCTGGTGAACCTGGCCAATCTGCAAACACACACACGCACACGCACACATACACACACACACACACACACACCACACACACACACACACACGTTCATGCACGCACGCACGCATGCATGCACACACACACACACACACACACACACACACACGCACACACACACATAGACACACACAATAAAGAGATTAGGATGCGCATCACATGCACACCGAATGGCCATGCCATACGACATTGTGTGGGTGAAAGCCTCCAAGGTCCAGCCACACAAATCATGACAGTACACACACACACACACACACACACACACACACACACACACACACACACACACACACACACACACACACACACACACACACACACACACAATACTATTGAATTTTCTTCGCCGGCTTGCTGGTGGCTGCTGTCCTTCTTCCTGCAGAAACAAACACACAATATGGACATGCAGAGAAGTCATGCACTGTGAATCTCCTGTACAGACACTGCAGCTATATATCCATACTGTTACACGTTACAAGACCAAATTGAATTCAAGGAAAGAATCTGTCCCTCCAGAAACTCGAGGAGAAATTTCAGAAATATCGCGGAAAACGTTGCGAGGTAAAATGCCACAAATTGCAGGGAATATTGCGGGGTCTGTCAAAAATTGCAGCAAAGTATTACTGTGGTCAAATTGCGGAAATTTCCGGCAATTTTGGTACTTGTAGCGTGGTACGAGTCGTACAGCATAAATCATGCAGACAAAACAGAATGTGTGCTTCGCTGAAGACAAGTGAGTTACAGTACTATAAGTACTCGACTGTCTGCAACTGCCTGACACGAGCTTGCAAGACGGCTTTTCTCCATCCTCGGAGAACACTTGACAAGTTTGTTAAGTGCTTTCGCAGTTTTTCCTGTTATTACCTTAGTGCTAGGATCATCATTTTCATAGGTGTTGTTTCTTCTCACTCCATTTCTCTTTATTAGTATCTTTCTGGATTGTTTTTCATTAGTACAACGTAGCTTCCTGAGGAGTGTCGTGCGAAAACTAGTTCGAAGTACGATTTTTTGTTCATCATTTCTTCCATATCACATTTTTTCTTTCTTCCATGTTCTTCACTGCCTTCGTAGCCACTCGTTTTTTGAATACAATAAAAGCCTTTGTGAAATGTCGGTTCAGCTCGTTCTGTTGATCGCAATTCTAAAATCATTATTATTATTTTCACTAGTTTGAGGGAAAGAGACAAACGGGAAAAGTCTGAAGAAAAAATTGACTGTCACCATCAGGACTCGAACCAGGGACCCTCGCTTGTAGCTAGCGATGCTCTAACCACTGAGCTATGGTGTATTATTATTATTATTATTATTATTATTGGCTCGACATCCTTGTTTCATATTGACTTGGGAATGATCGCACATATGGGCTCACCACACTGCATGCAGTCAGTGGGTGAGGACAAGGTGCATAAAAACTGCACTTTGTCCTGCCCCAGTGAAGTAACACTTCATATTAGAGCGAGTTGCTAATCTAGAGTGGACACACACACCAAACACATACAGCTACCCCCCCCCCCCCTTACCAAACACACACGCACACACATTTGAGAGGATATCAAAGGTCTTAAAATATGCAAGTTCAAAATCGTGTATCAAAAATCCGGATCACCTTCCAGAGATGCTGCTTTGTAGTGGATTTAAAAAATAAACAATAGTAGAACTTTGAACTATTCAAAATCTCTTTCGGAGCAGCGGATACTCACTTGGTAGAATGTCCATTGGATCACAGAATGTAGCAGCTGGCAATACAGGAACAAGTATGGCTGTGATTATTGAAATGAACGGCGCTTCTGGAGGTGAGGAGAACGTTTCCAGAGGTATGGCGGTAGATCTTCTGAAAGGAAGTAGAACCAAGTAGAAGAAAGACCCAGGACACTGAAGAGCACTGTATTTTACAGGGCGCAAGACGCAGCCCCCCCCCCCCCCTCTTTATGGGGTGCGAGCTAAGAGGCTGTCGAGGTCTGATGTCATTGCTTCACCCCGAGCTGCAACCCAGCACCCCCTCTTTACGGAGAGTAATCCACACCTCCCCCCCCCCCATTTGTAATTAGTCACTGCCAGAAACTGGTCACATGGGTACCATGGGTCTCCCTGAGAGAGGGGAGAGAAATTCAAAGGGTGACTTGCCACTCCAGCGCGACCGTTTCAGCGTGATGCATTTCAGCGCCAGCACTTCAGTGCCTGATTTCACAGCGCCAGGACTATCAGTGCGGTAAAGTACAGCGCCAGCAACTCAGCGCGAAAAAGTAAGGCGTGATAATTGTTATTTACAGCGCGAAAAAGTTCAGCGCAATAAAGTACAGCGCGATCAAGTAACAACGTGATCAAGTAACAACGTGATCAAGTACAGCACAGTACACTGCAGAGTGGGTAAGGACAAGGTTCAGAAAAACTGCATTGTGCAGTGGCCAATGAAGTAACACTTCATTTTAGAGCGGGTTGCTAATCTAGAGTGGACACACACACCAAACACATACAGCACTCCCCCCCCCCCCCCTTACCAAACACACACGCACACACATTTGAGAGGATATCAAAGGTCTTAAAAATATGCAAATTCAAAATCGTATATCCCCGAGCTCTCTGCATCGCCCCGCCCCCCCCCCCTTCCTGATGGAGTTCAAGCCGCATCCCCCCCCCCCCCCTTGACGGGGTGCAAGCCGCAACCCCCTTCTTTACGGAGTGAAAGCCACATCTCCCCCTTTTTACGGAGTGCAAATCGCATCCCCTTTTTGCGGAGTGCAAACCGCATCTCCCCCCCCCCCCCTCTTCACGGGGTGCAATCTCCCCAAACTGCACCCCCCCCCGCCGCTCTTTACAGAGTACCGTATTTTCCGGGGTATAAGCCGCACTTTTTTCGCTAAAAATCAGACCAAAATCGCCCCTGCGGCTTATACACCGAATATGCTTGCGCGAATGAATGCTTAGCATACATCAGTATGCATGCTGACGTCATGTGACATGTCATTCGACTCAGCTTCGCGCCTGTGTTGCTATCCCGGCACTTTTACTAGTTTTAGTGCGCGGGCTACACCATACGGTACGCATATACGGGGACTCTATTTTGCGTACTGCAAGTGCCGGTTTCCACACATCCTAGTATACAGCGATACGATAATACCATGGAGTGATCTGTAGTCAACATGGAGTGATCTGTAGTCAACACAGCAATACACCAACATCTCTGCAGCAACCTGTGGTGCACTAACACTTCATAATCTGATCTAACATGGTATTTAGCTCCACAACCATAATAAATTTGTAGAAAGGCCATTTGTCAATGAGTGTGAAAAATCTTGGTTCGTAGGTGCGGCTTATACTCCGAATACCAACTTTTAGTCAATATTTTGCCTCAAAAAGGGGGTGCGGCTTATACCCCGGAAAATACGGTACAAGGCGCATCTCCCCCCCCCCCACTTTTTCGGGGTGCAAGCCGTATCTCCCCCCCCCCCTCTTTACGGAGTGCAAGCCGCATCTCCCCCCCCCCTCCCTTTATGGAGTGCACACCAGTATCACAGGATTCCACTTGATTCAGATGAACATTCAATCCACATCACTTGGTGGATGAACATTTGTCCAGTCAATTCAGGATTCCGCTTGGTACAGAGTGCGGTAAACACAGGCTTTACGGCAGGACGATACATGCACCATTAAAAGGCTATAGACCCCAAGAGTGTGCAACTGACATTGGCGTTGTGCTTGGAAGGCAAATTGCAGGCATGAAGTTTGTAGAAAGTGAGAATTAAACACCAGGCATTTGTGCTGATTTGTTCTTGTTTTGAAAGCCCGTGATTATTCACTTTAAATTGTAGAAGAGTAACACGATTGTGAACCAAGGTGTCAAATCTGCACTAGCAGCAGCAACAACATTACCAGCAGAAACAACAGCAGCAGAGTTTAGCTGCTGTTCTCTTTTCCATCTTGTGCTCTTCCTGCATTCATATACTTATTGGTTTGTGCTTTCATGAAAAACGTTTCGGCCGCAGCATGATCAGCAGCAGCGAATGTTGTTGAAACAACATTGGCATTTGTAGCATAACATGAGAAAGCGTTATTAACTTACCAGAGTAGATGGTCCTTGGCTTATAATGCCTGCCGATAGCAACTCATACTTCACATGAAGTAGACTCAGACTGAGTTACAGACAACCTAGCACAGGCGATATTCGTGAAGAAAAAGAAAATGTACATGTGCACACTTATATACATGCACCGTGACATATGAGAGGTGAAATGAAAAAGCCGACAGCCACACACATACACAGACAAACAAAAACAGGTACACACCTTTGCTCACACACACATTACACGAGCATGCACGTACACACACACACCATTTGACCATTTGACGCCCATCGCCAGAGGCGATGATAGCGAACCTACAGCAGAAGCCAGAGCAGCTTGTGCTGGGATTGCACCATTCAACAGCTTGCAAAGCTGAAGAATTGACTGCCACTATTCAGCCTGGTCTACACCACACAGCTATGAAGTGACTTTTGCTGGCCAGTGAATCCCTACTTTTTGGTCTTTTTCATTTTTTGTTTTGTTTCCCGCACACACATCACATCACATCACACACACACACACACACACACACACACACACACACACACACACACACACACACACACACACACACACAAACCCACACACACGAAACCGCACACGTACACACACACGTTTGTACCTAGTCACTGCCAGAAACAGGTCACATGGGTCTCCCTGGGAGAGGGGAGAGAAATTCAAAGGATCATCTGGGATTGGAAAGATGGCTCGATTGGTCATGACAGTCGATCAATCATATTTCTACCTGTCATGCCAAGAACACAAGTACTAGCACACAGTCTAACAAGATAGCAGCTACTATGGCTACTCAGTCACTTTGCCTTCGAGTCAAGTATGAGAGTGCATGCTGGGGAGTGTAGCTAGTCAGCCAAGCATTAGCTGATGACACACCCTTCACCATACACACACACACACACACACACACACACACACACACACACACACACACACACACACACACACACACACACAGAACAAAAGAACGGCAGGGACTGCAGAGAAACACACAGAAAGAACACAATCATGCATTGCAAGTTGGCTAGAGAAGTCAGGGTTCGCACCAAGTCATGAAAATATTATTCAAGGGTTTTCAAGGGCCCCAAACCCCATTTTTTCAAGGACATTCAAGGACATTAGTTGGTGGGTTAACCGTTGGTTGGAACATCGCCGCCATTATCACTCAGAGAGAAGACATCGCGCTCAGAAGAAGAGGTGTTCACGCTGCGTCCAAGAGTGAACTATTGTGCTCTTTGACCCTCCATAGTTCCTCTGAGAGAGTGCCTGGGAGATAGGTAGCTTGGAAATGGCCGTAGAACGTGCTTTCCTGGACGCAATATTCAGCCATTTCTACCGTCTTCTTCAACTTGATTTATTTCGAAAAAAATGTTATTTTTCAGGGTTTCTGCACTGGACGCGTTTGGGATCGAAAATCTCACCTGCGCAAACAGGCTGCGCAGCTCACGCGCTGAGATCCCTATCAGTACTACCAAGAGTAGATAAACAAGAGTGTGCAACTCGCGGATGGGTTGGCCCACGGCGGAATTTTTTGTTGACGTAATCTTTTCGACGACGCACGCGCTGCGAGCCTTTTGGAGAGGTTTCCCTCGCGCACTTGGCCGGACATGTCTGTGCCCAGCACGTGCTCTCACACTGCTCTGCGGCCAAGTCCGCGTTTCTCTGAAAAAAGGTGACGTCAACAAAAAATTCCGCCGTGGGCGGGGGTATCTGCAGATTGTGCAGAAGAGATCCGGAGTTGCACACTCTTGTTTATCTACTCTTGGTAGTACCAAGAGTGGATCCACTCTTGGTACTAGTGTCACTACTAGATCTACGGACTACGGTACCGGTTACGGGTACCCAGCAGTGCGCGTAGACCTACTGCATGAACGTGAGTAGATCTACCGCATTCAAACCCAAAATCAAGGAAAAACACACTTTTTTCAAAAATTCAAGCACCCACACGAAAATTCAAGGATATTCAAGCACTTTCAAATCCGGCTTTGACATTCAAGGACTTTCAAGGAATTCAAGGAGTGGTGCGGACCCTGAGAAGTGATGGCAAGGGCAGTGCCACAGTATACCAATCACTGAATATTCATGATAGGTTGGCACCACTGCACTTCCAGTATAGCAAGTAACACAGTATTGATGTACCAGTGCATACGTCCGCTCAGTACAACATGCAGCAGCAGCAGCAGCAGCAGCAGCAGCAGTGTTACAAGTACAACATGTAAGCATTGCAGAAAGTGCTACGTAGCAGCCACTTTAAAAACTACTTCCTCCGTTAACAAAAACTTCGTGATGGAATTTTGAGGGGCTGATTTGGGCACAAACTGCCGTGAAATGAGTCGCAATCACTTTCTTGGCCTTCCCTGGCATGCCATGACAGAGGTACGATGCAAGGAAAGCGACCTTTCAAAACAGCCGAGCGGAATCGATGGTTGCGCTGTGGAAACATAGGTGATGACAGTCATGGCGAGCGAAACTGAAATACCACTTCTCCGAGGGGATATTGCGCTGCTTGGCCTCTCTACCACTTTAGCACTGAGTACCTTGGAGAGTGATAGAGAGCGATAGAACGGAGCAGCGAGCCCACACAATGAGCGAGTGAACAAGGCCAAAGAGCTGCTCCGATCGCACGGCTCATTGAAAATAATTCTGAACTCAAGTTCTTGTTCAACCTGCGCAAAGCCCAGATTCGAATACTGATGACCATGCATTTTTCAGAAGTCTCCAGTCCGATGCGAGTCTCGTGGCTAAAGAAAGTCGACTTGACTTGCTAGCCGCTGCCGTTCAGTGCTGGTATCCATTAGAGAAAATAGAATCAGTTTGGCTGTGCCTTTACTCCTCGTTTTGCGGAGTTCTGGAGAGCGAAGATGATACCAGGAGTCGTAAAATATTTTTCACGCCTCCCTGGTGGAAACGAGTAATCGCCATCGCGGCGGATCACGCAGCTTGAAAGCAAACTTACTTTAACGACGGCGACATCAAGCGGAGTGTGATCAAAGAAGCCGAGGCAAGGCTGAAACGAGCTGAACAACGATTCGAGAGAGATGACGACTCGCGTGCAGCAGATGACGACAGCGACGCAGGTCAAAAAATTAATCGAGCGAAAGCGACGCAAACTGAACTCTCTGCTCATTCCGCCAACAGTTTCTCTTGTAACGACGCTGTACATAGGCTTAATCACCTTCGTCCAGTGATTTGTAGTCGATACAAACTGTTCTTGACCTGTTCTAAGCGTTTTCATATCCATCCAAATCCATCACGAAGTTTTTGTTAACGGAGGAAGCAGAATGTAAACATCACTGCAGCTGTACATGAAGTCAACAGCTGCAGCAGGGTACGATTTCACGCAGCTGAACAGTTGACTGTGTTTTTTGCTGCTGCACACACAGTCATCAGACAACGCAACACACGCCAACACACCTTTGGGAATGCTCTTTCCCGAAAGCGATGATAGCTGTTAAGCGAGACAGTGATTCTGTGATCAGACAAGTTATTATGATGACGGAACTTACGATGACAGGTTCAGGCAAATACTCTCAACTTGAGTTGGCTTGGTGGTTTTGGATGGCTAAGATCATCAGATTCTCTCCAATACTGGGCAAGCTGGATCCACTGAGGTTGTGAGATGTAGTTTGCAGACAATCTAGCAGCTGCCATATGCAGCCATTGACGCCCCAAGTCCATGACGAGGCTGTGTGCCCGTGCTGTCTGCGAACAAGACCTCTTTCAGGACTTCACGAAAACACTGCTGGTGAACCTGGCCAATCTGCAAACACACGCACACACACACACACACACACACACACACACACACACACACACACACACACACACACACACGTTCATGCACGCACGCACGCATGCACGCACACACACACACACACACACACACACACGCACACACACACATAGACACACACAATAAAGAGATTAGGATGCGCATCACATGCACACCGAATGGCCATGCCATACGACATTGTGTGGGTGAAACCCTCCAAGGCCCAGCCACACAAATCATGACAGTACACACACACACACACACACACACATACACACACACACACACACGCGCACACACACACACACACACACAAACACACACACACACACACAAGCACACACACACACACACACACAAGCACACACACACACACACACAAACACACAAACACACAGGCACACACACACACACACACATACACACACGCACACCTCAGACCTCAGACATGCCCATCGCGGAAGCGATGATAGCGAACAGCTATGTTAGACATAGCAACTTGTGCTGGGATTACACCATTCAACAGCTTGCAAGGCTGATGAATTGACCGCCACTATTTTTAGCCTGGTATCCACCACACAGCTGTTTGAAGTGACTTATTCTGGCCAGTGAATCCCTTTTTTCATTTCAATTCTTTCCATTATTATTATTATTTTTTTTTACAAACACACACACCACACCACATACTCCGGCATACACTGGCCGTTGGTAACCACCCAGGAGAATGAAAGGAAAGTCAAGAAGAGTCCGAGAAAGAGAAGAAAGACGTGTGCGACCATAATCGTCGGGCATTGAACCCGCAACCTCTCGATTGGAAATCGACTGCACATACCACTGCACCATATGGGACACACACTGCACCATATGGGACACGCACACACACACACACACACACACACACACACACACACACACACACACACACACACACACACACACACACACACACACACACACAAGCACACACACACACACACACACACACACACAAGCACACACACACACACACACACACACACACACACACACACACACACACACACACACACACACACACACACACACACACACACACACACACATACGCCTGAGTGTATTCAGTACTTTGTGGAGCATTTCCCTGTGTTGCGCACATGTTGCTTGTCGAGACTCAACAATAGCTGGAAAATGAATGCAAGCACATAGAGTAGTGTGTTCTGTCCCCATGAGTATGCAGAGGTGTGAGTTCACATACACACCGAGTGTATTTTAAGTTTTTAACACAACACGTGCAATGTGTGTGACGTGCAAACGAAGGAGAACCAAATCTAGCCTACAATTTACAACCTCAAATCATTCTGTACCATCAAGAGTGCATATTCCAATGGAGCCATCCGGCATTATCGATGATTTTCACAGAACAAAATCCCCCCCCCCCCCAAACGAAAAATAGATTGACTTGACAGCTAGAATAGATTGATTGATGTTTCGACTATCAATCTTTTTCAAAACGAAACTCTCCCAACACACACACCCATAAATGAAACTTTTTCGTTTTGTATAATAGAGAGATTATTATAGACGGCCCGGCCTAACGAAGAATGCAAGTCAGTGTTCCCGTGGCCCATGGCGGATTGTTTCCGAGGACCTCAGAATTTTGTGGCCATTCGGCTCATTGATCGAACATGCATCGACAGATCAAAATGCAAAGATCTTCTACATCTTGCATAAGGTAATTGAAGCCGAGCAACGGACGATAGATTCATGCGTCCTGAGTTTGACGAGCAAACACCATAATTATTATCATCAAGAGTACATAACAGCCCAGATTGTCCAACTCCAGTCCATGGGGTCTGCTCTGCAACGGCAGAGCATCACGTCACGTGACAAAAACCCGGATACAAAACTTGCACCCTGTGAATAGCTCTAGGGTTGTGCGCCACCCTACTCCCTCTTTACGGAGTGCAAGCCGCATCTCCCCCTCTTGACGGGGAGCAATCCACATCCCCCCCCCCCCCTTTGTACTTAGTCACTGCCAGAAACTGGTCACATAGGTCACCCTGAGAGAGAGGAGAGAAATTCAAAGGGTGACTTGCAACTTCAGCGCGACCGTTTCAGCGCGATGCATTTCAGCTCCAGCACTTCAGTACCTGATTTCACAGCGCCAGCTTCTTCAGCGTCATGACTATCAGCGCAGTAAAGTGCAGCGCCAGCAACTCAGCGCGAAAAAGTAAGGCGTGATAATTTACAGCGCGATCAAGTAACAGCTCGATCAAGTACAGCGCAGCACACTGCAGTCAGTGGGTGAGGACAAGGTTCAGAAAAAACTGCTAACACTTCAGCGGGTTGCTAATCTAGAGTGGATACGCAAACCAAACACATACAGCACTCCCCCCTCCCCAAAAACACACGCACATACATTTGAGAGGATAGGAAAGGTCTTGAACATATGCAAGTTCAAATTTGTATATCCCCGAGCTGCAACCCCCTGCATCCCCCCCCCCATTCTTTACGGAGTGCAAGCCGCATCCCCCCCCCCTTCTTTACGAAGTGAAAGCCACATCCCCCCTTTTTACGGAGTGCAAACCGCATCTCCCCTCCCCTCTTTACGGAGTGCAAGTCACATCTCCCTCCCCTTCTTTACGGGATGCAAGTCGCACCCCCCACCTCTTTACGGAGTGCAAGTCGCATCCCCCCCCCAACTTTACGGAGTGCAAGCCGCATATCCCCCTCTTTATAGAGTGCAAGCCGCATCCCCTCCCCTCTTTTCGGGGTGCAAGCCGCACCCCCCCCCCCTTACGGAGTGAAAGCCACATTTCCCCCTTTTTACGGAGTGCAAACCGCATCTCCCCCCTCTTTGCGGAGTGCAAGCCGCATCTCTCTCCCCCCCCCCCCTTACGGAGTGAAAGCCACATATCCCCCTTTTTACGGAGTGCAAACCGCATCTCTCCCCCCCCCCCCCTCTTTGCGGAGTCAAGCCGTATCTCCCACCCCCTCTTTACACAGTGAAATCTGCATCTCCCAATGTTTACGGAGTGAAATCCACATCTCCCCCCTCTTTATGGGGTGCAAGCTGCATCTCCCCCCCCCTCTTTACGGAGTGCAAGCCGCATCCCCCCCCCCCCCCCTCTTAACGGACGGAGAGCCATATCCCCCCCTTTTTACGGAGTGCAAATCGTACCCCCCCCCCCCCTCCTATTTACGGGGTGAGAGCCGCATCTCCCCCGGCTCTATATGGGGTGTAAGCCACATCTCCTCCACCCCCACTTTTTACTTCCTCCCCCCTCTTTACGGGGTGCAGGTCGCATCCCCCATTACGGAGTGAAAGCCACATCTCCCCCTTTTTACGGAGTGCAAATCGCCCCCCCCCCCTTCTTGCGGAGTGCAAGCAACATCTCTCCCCCCCCCCCTCTTTATGGAGTGCAATCTCCCCCCTTTTTACAGAGTGAAAAATGCATCCCCCTCCCCCTCGCTCTTTACGGGATGCAAGGCGTATCTCCCCGTCCCCCCCCCCCCCGCTCTTTAGGGGTGCAAGCCGTATCTCCCCTCTTTATGGAGTGCAAGCCGTCAAATCTGCACTAGCAGTAGCAACAACATTACCAGCAGAAGCAACAGCAGCAGAGTTTGATTGCTGTTCTCTTTTCCATCTTATGCTCTTCCTGCATTCATATACTTATTGGTTTGTGCTTTCATGAAAAACGTTTCGGCAGCAGCATCATCAGCAGCAGCGAATGTTGTTGAAACAACATTTGCATTTGAAGCATAACATGAGAAAGCGTTATTAACTTACCAGAGTAGATGGTCCTTGGCTTATAATGCCTGCCAATAGCAACTCATACTTCACATGAAGTAGACTCAGACTGAGTTACAGACAACCTAGCACAGGGGATATTCGTGAAGAAAAAGAAAATGTACATGTGCACACTTATATACATGCACCGTGACATATGAGAGGTGAAATGAAAAAGCCGACAGCCACACACATACAGACAAACAAAAACAGGTACACACCTTTGCTCACACCCACACACATTACACGAGCATGCACGTACCACACACACACACACACACACACACACACACACACACACACACACACACACACATACACACATACACACACACGAAAACGCACACATATTTGTACTTAGTCACTGCCAGAAACATCCTTGTTTCATATTGACTTGGGAATGATCGCACATATGGGCTCACCACACTGCATGCAGTCAGTGGGTGAGGACAAGGTGCAGAAAAACTGCATTCTGTCCTGCCCCAGTGAAGTAACACTTCATATTAGAGCGGGTTGCTAACACATACAGTAAAGCCTGTAGTGGTGACCACTCGGATATGGTGACCACTCGGATATGGTGACCACTCGGATAAGGTGACCACTCGGATATGGCGACCACTTTTCCTTGTCACAGACGCATTCACATTCAAAACAGCTCGGATGAGGCGACCACTCGCTCAACGCAACCGACGACCACCCACCGGCGACCGCGTTGCACAGTGCTAGCACATGTAAATGTATGCATTGCATGGTGCACCAAGCATAGTAGATCTACACAACAGTGCAGGAACTGTGTAGATGTGCATGGTGCATGCACGACACTTGACAGGTCTGAGGGCCTAGGCATAATAATTATGAGTCGTGCGGTGCTAGAGTAGCATAGGTGTGTGCACTGTGATACACTGATCAAAATGACGTATCACATGTGGATATGGTCACGTGACCCACTGAACCTGGAGACCACGTGGCCACAGCGACCACTTTTTCTCATCCCTTGAGTGGTCGCCTCAGACAGGTTTCACTGTACAGCACCCCCCCCCCCCCCCCATACCAAACACACACGCACACACATTTGAGAGTATATCAAAGGTCTTGAAAATATGCAAGTTGAAATTCGTATATCAAAAATCCGGATCAGCTTCCAGACATGCTGCTTTGTAGTGGATTTAAAAAATATACTATAGTAGAACTTTGAACTATTCGAAATCTCTTTTGGAGC